CTCAGGTGGCTGGTTCGGTTGCGTGTTGCTCCCAGGCCCAGGCCCAGGCCCAGGCCCAGGCCCAGGCCCAGGCCCAGGCCCAGGCCCAGGCCCAGGCCCAGGCCCAGGCCCAGGCCCAGGCCCAGGCCCAGGCCCAGGCCCAGGCCCAGGCCCAGGCCCAGGCCCAGGCCCAGGCCCAGGCCCAGGCCCAGGCCCAGGCCCAGGCCCAGGCCCAGGCCCAGGCCCAGGCCCAGGCCCAGGCCCAGGCCCAGGCCCAGGCCCAGGCCCAGGCCCAGGCCCAGGCCCAGGCCCAGGCCCAGGCCCAGGCCCAGGCCCAGGCCCAGGCCCAGGCCCAGGCCCAGGCCCAGGCCCAGGCCCAGGCCCAGGCCCAGGCCCAGGCCCAGGCCCAGGCCCAGGCCCAGGCCCAGGCCCAGGCCCAGGCCCAGGCCCAGGCCCAGGCCCAGGCCCAGGCCCAGGCCCAGGCCCAGGCCCAGGCCCAGGCCCAGGCCCAGGCCCAGGCCCAGGCCCAGGCCCAGGCCCAGGCCCAGGCCCAGGCCCAGGCCCAGGCCCAGGCCCAGGCCCAGGCCCAGGCCCAGGCCCAGGCCCAGGCCCAGGCCCAGGCCCAGGCCCAGGCCCAGGCCCAGGCCCAGGCCCAGGCCCAGGCCCAGGCCCAGGCCCAGGCCCAGGCCCAGGCCCAGGCCCAGGCCCAGGCCCAGGCCCAGGCCCAGGCCCAGGCCCAGGCCCAGGCCCAGGCCCAGGCCCAGGCCCAGGCCCAGGCCCAGGCCCAGGCCCAGGCCCAGGCCCAGGCCCAGGCCCAGGCCCAGGCCCAGGCCCAGGCCCAGGCCCAGGCCCAGGCCCAGGCCCAGGCCCAGGCCCAGGCCCAGGCCCAGGCCCAGGCCCAGGCCCAGGCCCAGGCCCAGGCCCAGGCCCAGGCCCAGGCCCAGGCCCAGGCCCAGGCCCAGGCCCAGGCCCAGGCCCAGGCCCAGGCCCAGGCCCAGGCCCAGGCCCAGGCCCAGGCCCAGGCCCAGGCCCAGGCCCAGGCCCAGGCCCAGGCCCAGGCCCAGGCCCAGGCCCAGGCCCAGGCCCAGGCCCAGGCCCAGGCCCAGGCCCAGGCCCAGGCCCAGGCCCAGGCCCAGGCCCAGGCCCAGGCCCAGGCCCAGGCCCAGGCCCAGGCCCAGGCCCAGGCCCAGGCCCAGGCCCAGGCCCAGGCCCAGGCCCAGGCCCAGGCCCAGGCCCAGGCCCAGGCCCAGGCCCAGGCCCAGGCCCAGGCCCAGGCCCAGGCCCAGGCCCAGGCCCAGGCCCAGGCCCAGGCCCAGGCCCAGGCCCAGGCCCAGGCCCAGGCCCAGGCCCAGGCCCAGGCCCAGGCCCAGGCCCAGGCCCAGGCCCAGGCCCAGGCCCAGGCCCAGGCCCAGGCCCAGGCCCAGGCCCAGGCCCAGGCCCAGGCCCAGGCCCAGGCCCAGGCCCAGGCCCAGGCCCAGGCCCAGGCCCAGGCCCAGGCCCAGGCCCAGGCCCAGGCCCAGGCCCAGGCCCAGGCCCAGGCCCAGGCCCAGGCCCAGGCCCAGGCCCAGGCCCAGGCCCAGGCCCAGGCCCAGGCCCAGGCCCAGGCCCAGGCCCAGGCCCAGGCCCAGGCCCAGGCCCAGGCCCAGGCCCAGGCCCAGGCCCAGGCCCAGGCCCAGGCCCAGGCCCAGGCCCAGGCCCAGGCCCAGGCCCAGGCCCAGGCCCAGGCCCAGGCCCAGGCCCAGGCCCAGGCCCAGGCCCAGGCCCAGGCCCAGGCCCAGGCCCAGGCCCAGGCCCAGGCCCAGGCCCAGGCCCAGGCCCAGGCCCAGGCCCAGGCCCAGGCCCAGGCCCAGGCCCAGGCCCAGGCCCAGGCCCAGGCCCAGGCCCAGGCCCAGGCCCAGGCCCAGGCCCAGGCCCAGGCCCAGGCCCAGGCCCAGGCC